AGGAGTGCACAAGTTGAAGAGATTGAACTCCATGCTCTGTGACTATGGGCAATCTACCTCCATGTGCATGCCAGATTTTGTGCTTGGTGGACTTCGACCCTGCACCACCCAACTTGATAAGAGCCTCAGTTTTACCCGCCTGATAATTGATTGCCAGTCCTCGTGATGCAGCGGAATCATGCAAGCAAGATGCCACTACTTGTAGGGAACTGATCACATCATCTGGCGATTGTGAGTGAATGGCATAGGCAATATCATCGACAAAGGTAACCTCTGCGAAGCCCCTGTCGGGAACAGAGATCTGTCTGGTCACATCTTCTGCAGGTTTTGGTGAACCGAAGCAACACATTCCTGTGGAAGCTTCAATCTTCTTCCGGGCATCCAAAACTACCAACCTAAACACCATGTTGAAAAGAATATCGGCCACCGGGTCTCCCGGCCGAGTTCCGCGCATTGTGGCAGTTTTCCCATCGAGCCCGTGCATGGAAAAGTGGGTTGCGGAAAACATGTCCTTCATAATTCCTACCTGATGTTGGTGGAGTCCATGGGTGGCATCATCGGAGGCAACCACTGATTTAATCTCATGCCATTCCTTTGGCGTAATTCCAAGGTGCTTCATCGCATAGCAAATCTCATCATCATGGAAATCACCTTGAAAAAAAGAGGATCTCAAAACAGAATAAAATGCGGATTGAAGATCGACAACAGAATTGCACATGAGACATTAGCCACTCGTGCCCAGGACAGATGCGCATGCAGCAAGTGATGTGCGACATCAGTCGAACATCCTTTCCGCCCTCCAAGCTGTATGAGCGAGGCATCTTGATTCCATACCTCTGCAAGCTTCTGTCTCTGATTGGCATGGTGAATCTTTGCACAAACATCAGACAAAAAGATGGATCTGTACGCTGATGGTTCAGCCGGTGACCCTTTTCCTTTGAAAAGTGGTATCAGCAGGCCTCCTTTCCAACTGAGCGGCTCTTTCATATGCCAGGTTGCTTTCACCAAAAGGGGAGTAAGGATCTGCGCCATTGCATATCCTCCACTTTTGATCACATCCACAGGCAGCTGACCGGGCCCTGGAGCCTTACCATTTTTGAACCGTCGTATCAACGCCAGAATTTGGCATGGATCTGGGCAACTATCAGGGTCTTGTGCCGCATTAGAATGCGCACTGTCATGCAGTTGGGCAAGCTGTAGTTCGGTAGCGTCAATTCCAGCTTCAATTGCCGCAAACTGTTTTCTCCATACTTTTTGACACTCTTCAAAGGTGCTGGCAACACCTTCTTCGGAAACCTTCAACTTGGGCAGCGGCCTAGGACCTTTGTGAAGATCTTTCTTTCTGCGGCCTAGTCTCTGGAGCCTCTTGTACACTTGCGCAACGTCATGGTGGGCCCAATCGTCATTGATAGAATCAAGCCACTCTGCGTACCATTTTCTTTGGTCAGCAAGCACCATGGTGCGAACAATCTTCTCCAGACTTTTGAGCTCTGCCACAGTGTTTTCATCACGAAATCCTTGCGTCCTGGCCATATCGAGTGCTTGCCTCTTCAACTGAATACCTGCAATTGTGCAATCACTCAAGACAGGCCGGACTCTTTCCTTTTTGGTGGTGCCAAAATGCTGTGCAGCTAACTGCATGATATTTGACTCCAGTAGCACTGAATGATCATCAATTGATACTTCCCATGTGGGCATTGGCAGAGTTTGCAAGGCTTCTGCGAATGCAACTTGAGCATCTGGGTCCCGCATTTTGGCAAAATCCCATTTGACTTTCTTGGCTGTGGACTTAGTCAATAATATGCCTTCAAGTTGGCAAATAGCAGGGCAATGATCCAAATGTCCGAACCCACCATCAAAATCACACCAGACCTGGGAGCTAACGCACATTGTGAACATGGAGCGGCTGAGCAAAACGTAGTCCCTTCTAAGTTGCCCGCCTCTAGGGTGGTGCCATGTAGCTGAGGGACCGTTGTGAGTGGCAAACGTGGAGGGCACAAACAACTCATTTGCAACCAAAAATTCTTGAAATGCAAGGCCTTGAGGGTTCATAGCCTCTGCTTGGTGCATGCCAAAGAAGGCCGTCTCATGGTCAGCGAGAGGGGCATTCGCATCAATGAATATAATTGCATGCCTATCTCTAGCTACGGAAACCTTGGTTGACAATTCGTTCCACCATTGCTGGACTTGCACAAAAGGCCTCTCTGCTGTCACACAAGGCGCATGTGCAACAATCACACAGAGACTTATAGGCCCTTCCACATTTGCAACCAGTAGCCTTGGTTCAGAAGCAATAATCGTAACCTTGCATTCACTAAGACGGACTGGACTGCCATCAGGCCGCTTTGAGATAGGCAGGGTCTTGTGGATCCATAATTCGCACCCGAAATGCCTGGACTTTCCACATTGCTCAAAACCTGATGAAAAGATTTGATAGTGGTCAGTGCACCTGACGCCAACGGGTGTTCGCGTTTCTTGAATCCCAACCACAGCTACCCTTCTGGTATGAAACTGAGAGTCAAGTCGTATGGATCTCGCACCTGCCGTGATCGAGGGCATATCATTTTCATCAAGAGCGAGTCCATTATACGTTGCGACCTTCAATGAGATTTGGAGCTCATCAGGGATTTGCAAAGCAGAAGCACTGATTGCCCCAACTCGTTTACAAGATGGAGTCGGCTGCCATACCGCATTTCCATGGAGCTTGGGCATAGTAATGGCGAATGCATCTTTTTGTTCTCGAAGCCATTCCCATTTCTGCGTTGTCGGAGAGATTGCCAAACAGTGCAGTGGTGTCCACGGAACTGAACCTACAGCGCATCGGTGTTTGACAATCCATTTTGCCACTGAGTCAGCCAATTCATTCCATGGATCACCGCAGTGGGCACGGACCTCAGTGACAGCCAAATTGGCTGGCTTAGCTTGGCCCAAGACATGAACAACCTTCGCAATAGTACTAGACTGTCGACTGGTCGAGGCAATGTCAACATATCTTTTACTGAGAGCAAGGTCTGGCCGCACGACAAAGTAGGTGTCAATTGCTCCAAAAAAGGCGAATGCTGTGGCAGCAGCCATGGCAGTGAGTTCTGCATCGATGTTTGTGTGCCCATTGGCACCGATCCATTTTGGAGATTGTTTGTCGATTTCGGTGACATCCCCGAGGCAGCCTTTGAAAACTCTTCCGGATTCAGTAACTGCAACTGCCACCACAGCCCAGGCCGACAATGGGCCAAAGGTGGCTCCGTCGACATATAGCTCATGCGCAATGATTGTGTCATCCTGCCATTCATGTTGGGCGTGTAGGGCTTCATAGGTTTCCCTATGCAAATCGGTACCTTCTGGGATAGGGCAAAATTTCCAGGAGTCTTCACATTCTAACTGATCTTTGAGACCAGCACCTGGGAGCAGCTCATATGCAATGCCATCCTCATCAAACTCAGGCCTATGCGTAGTGATAGTGGCATCTAGACAGATTTCCACTTTTTTGTTCATAGGATTGAGTTGAAATGTTTGAGCATGGTCAGAACTGTGATACTCGATGACGTCACCATTCACTAATTGAACAGAATCTCCAAGGATAAGCCCATTGACACGTACCATGGAGCCATGAATCACATGTAGGACATCTCGAAGCAAGTTTGTTCTGATATTGCATGGAAGTGCAACAACCTTGACTGAAGCAAATCCCTGGTGATAAACAACACATGCGACAAGGGCCTTATTTACAGGCAATGGAAACATGGACCCGATTCGCCAGCTACCAGGCTTGAAATTCCATGATGCGCGAGTGAACTTGACACAGTGCAGGTCGGAACAATCTTGAATCAACTGGTGTTTTACACGGAAGTCTTGGCGAATTGTCTCAGTATCAAAACCCTGCTGTGGGTGCATTTCAAACTGATTGCGGCCATTATTGAGCTCCCATACACACACCACAATATCAGACTGCTTGACGTCCTGTTGGTTGAGGAACTGTGCAAGCGTAAAAGGAGACCCTTCCACATCTCTGTCAGTGACCTGAATGGCTTGATGAAGGGAGATAGTACGTCGCTGATACGCATGAGCCTGCAACCCTTCCGGGTTTGTGCTGGTGCTGCTTCTCCGTACTGTCACTTTCTTCTGCAAGAGTTCTAAGCCCTCTGCTCCAGGTGCATGCGGAATGAATGGAGGATTCCATTGCGCTGGAAAGAAGTGTCGGTTGACGATCAGATCGATGGCATCTCCGTCCGTGGCTCTAATGCGATCGTTGGCAGCTAAATACTGAGATCTAAGCCTGAAAACACATTGAGCATGATATGCACATTCAAGCGTGTAACCAATTCTTTCAATCACGTCCTGAAGTTGCAGTTGTTCTGTGAACGAGAATGCTCTGTGGAACGGGTGTCCCCCGTTGATTGCAGGGTCAAAAGTTGTGAGAATCAATGACGACCACTCAGGCGCATTGTGTTGAATGAGAATCACATGCCCTGCAATACCAGATTCCATCTGTGTCGGTGGTGGCGAGACAAGCACAAGCTGGAAGTCGGCCGCCTGGTCAAGCTCGTCTTCCCATTTTCGTCGGAATTGTTCTCTCCAATTCCAAAAGTCGGCAAACAGAGCAATCTTCCTTCCATAAAGACACTGAATCCGTCCGACCGTGGGAGCAACGTGCCATGTCATGAAGTGAGTCGCACGTGACTCTCCTTGCCATGCGAAAGCCTGCATATCCCAGACATGATAGATGTCCTCAATGACCTGTTCCCATTCTGGCAGAGCAATATTAGGCAAGAACTCAGGTACATCGAGATTGAATTGAAAGAAGTCCGTTTCCGAAGGGACTGAAGAACTGATCCCTAGCGCATCATTTGGTGCAATATTTGCAGCCTGGTTTTGAGTGCAGGCAACTGAAATTCTTTCAACCCCATTACGGCCTTGCAAAGATTGAACATCTTTTCCTTGTTCTATAGCGGCAACATTCTGTGAAAAATGGTGGTCCTCACGTGGCCACTGCATCATCGAAGTCATGTCATCGTCTTCCTGTTCATCCAGGTCATCCGCCTGTGGCACGGTTGTCTCATGCTGATCTGAAAAACCACCAACTGCAACGTCAGGATGCGTACCAGCAATTGTGTTGCTGGCTTCACCTTCGGTCGTCTGCGTACTGGAGGCATTCCAATCACGATGCCATCACCTGAGCCCAATCGAACTGTACGGTCGCTTGGGAACGAGAGTCGACCTCTCCTGACCGTTATTGAATGCATAGGGACATCCGACGTGACCATTCGATCAACAAAGTCACCGATACCTGAAAAACGATGAACAATCATGGCAGCCTGTGAAACTGGACGATTCGATTCGGCATGCTCAGTTGATGTAGCCAACACAGCAACATGCTCTTCAGGTAATGATTGGACTACAATAACATGCGCCGCATGCGATTGCCATGGGTGCGAAGGCGGCATTGGGTCGACAAAGTGCAGTTCCATCGGGGCCCCTCGTGTGAACTGTTCCCGCCATGGAAAAATAAGCTCACTTTGCCACCATTGATTGTCAGCATCAATTCGCACAACTTTTGGCGAGTCATTGAAGTGTCGTACCCTGCCTTGCACAAACCAAACAAGCACATACATAACTGGCCCCTCATCGGTGTGTTCCAAAAATGCGTGCCTGTCAAAAACTTCTTGAAGTTGATTGATCCATTCCGGAGGATATGCACTAGCAGGAGGATGTGCAGGGCTTGACGAAGAGCCAGGGTTGTTTGCTGAGTGAGGATCAGCGGGAAACCCTTGAACATTGGGCCTCCTGAAGATGACCCCTCCAATCGCTGCTCGCAATTCATTGCGTAGTTGTTGATCTGTCATGGAAAGTAATTCTGGAATACTAACACGAATGCCTCGCCTAACAAGGAATCTGAGAGCATTGCCTGTGCGCACCTGTAAGGTTTGATCTGGTCGGATAGCAATATTCCCCATCCAGAGCAAACATTCGTTGTCTTCACGCTCAGGCGAGCAAATCTCGGAATAACCAAGCAAGGTACTCAAAGAGTAGATATTGAGCTGATCTGAAACAACCAAGGCAATGGACCCATGTTTTCCGTAGCTGCGAAAAGTGTCGCAAACCGTCACAACAACAGTTCTGGAGAACGGCTCTGATTGTTGTTCAATGACAAGCTGTTCTTGAACTGTGCGATCTACATCCTCAGGCGTAGGAAAAACAATAGCAAATTGAGTGGGCAAAGCTAATTCAGCACGGTCATGCCAAGCCCCTAAGAGCTCTCGCTCCCACATTTGAAAGTTGCTAGAAAGCACTACCACCCGTGAATGCTCGCATCTGGTCCATCTGCGTGGGTTGGTAAACCACGTCTCCAGGCGCAAACCTGACTGTGGGTCACCACCATTCTGTGCAACTGTCTCAGCCCATTTTTCCCACAGGTCCTGAACCCATACTGGTTGATCACTGAGACCTTCAGGTAAATCAGGGAAGGCATCATCCTGGGCAGTTTGTGCACCCACAGCTTGCACGTACCTGATAAACTCCTCTGTGAGGCTGAAATTTGCAATGTGCGGCATGGGACCACTATGGTTGCCTCCCAGTGGCTGTCGGCTTGTTGAATGGAATGAGCGTGCCGAAATACAACAGCCAGAGCTCGGGTTCTGAATCATGCTGTTGTCATCGGAAATGTCGCTGGCATCGTCAAGTACAGTTGGAAAGATCTGTACACGGATTCCGAGCCCAAACTTTGTTTTGATTGTTGGATCATTTTCACTCTCCTCGGGGTAGACCCACTTTCTTTTGTTTCTAAAGAATGCATCAAACAGTGGTACATGATCCGCCAGCATCCGAGCATTGCAAATGTTTGGAACTGCCGCTGCAAAAGTTACAATCACGCTGGATTCAACCTCGTCAACAAATTCCATGGAGAATAAGACTGAACGCAAGTTGACTGGTCTCTGCGTGATAATAACATGAGCGATGTGTTCTTCAACACTGGCTCTCGGTACAAAAGGCTGCACAAGATCAATGAGCACTGAATTGTCTGGAACAAGATGGTATTCCCAAGGCAGCAAGATATCTTCTCTCCATTCCGCAGGGTCCTCCCCTAGGATAGCTATTTTCGGTTCTCGGCAAAGATTTGCCGTTTCTTGATCAATGAACCACGTGTAGATTGAGAACATGAAATCTTGCTGTTGAGTTTCTCCACATTGCTGAAAGTGAGCTTCCACGAGTCGCTGAAGGTCAACATACCAATCTTGCAGAACTTCATCTGAATCCGAACTGCTGGACCTTGGACCTCCATCAAACCTTGGATCTGTGTGATTGTCAGCTAGTGATCTTTGCATCAACAGAAAATCATCAGTGTCTGCATGTGCATCTGTTGCCAATCTTCTCATTTCGTCTTCACCTAACAGGCTTGGAGAAAAACCAGAAGCTGCATCCTCATTGTGAATCTCATCCAAGATTTGTTGATCTGAAAAGCCTCGCTGAGTCATATCAGAAATAGCAGTTGTGGAACAAGCAAATCTGTCTGACGGTGGCACTGCGATCCTGATGTAGTCACCGTGTGCAATGACTTTCCTGTCGAGGTCATAGTCAGGCCATCTTCTGGAATTAATAAAAACAAGACACCTTCCATTCTCTAAACGGCAATACCTATCAACATTGCTGCGATAGAGAACGTCATGTCGAGATGCCGTGCTTGGGAGCGGCTGAACAGAACGGGAAACTGTCGGGCCACTACGGAAATGTCCTTCTATTCGATGTGCGTGATATTCTATGTCTACTAAAACCAGCCTGTCATTGCTTTCAGGAGGAATGTCGCCAAAGACATGCACAATCACTGGAACAACTTCAATTCCGAGATCAGGTGGTGAAACAACTACCTCATAGGCCTCTTCAATCTCTTCCCGTCTTCGACTGTAGTGATGAGCAATTTCTGTCATCATTTCCTCATAACTATTCCAGTTGAGAAAAGAGCGGACTGGCTGATCAGCAAGATGAAATAGAATAACATCTTGTCTTTCTGGATGGTTTGCCGATTGGTGACCCTCAACAGGGTCTGAGGAATCCCCAGGAGATGGGCTCTCTGATCCCTCGTCATACTCTTCATGCCTCTCATCAACGCCTTCCATATGATGCGCATGGTCCCCAGGCATGCCATGCATCTGAAAAGCTTGTTGCATCTCAATGGGCGAGTTCTTGAAAGCATATGGAGTGACTGATCCAATTTGAACAATCGATAACTCGTCAATGTTGTCATTTTCTCTCAATGCAGCATTCGGAACATGATTCTCCTGAGACATCACTCTAGAGATCGAACTGCTTTGTGAAGGGAGCGAGCTCAACACGGCCTTGGTAGACAGCGGAGCAACCTGCAGCCCTTCTGTGGACATGAAATCACATAAGTTCTGGTTGGTAATATCCCGCAGGACTGAAAAACACATCTCTGGTCTGCATTCATTGTGAGCACAACGTCCACGATCCTTCAGCTTGTCCCTAAATGGGGAGGCAAACAAGGAATCATCATGTGGCACGCTAGTAACTGCTGACGGAGTACTGTGAGGAGAGTCATCATGCACAACATCAATGTCAGCTTTTCGATCATGGATGTCAGCAAAATTGCAGAACGGATATGTAAGGTCTGTGATTTTCCTCCAAGAGAACCGACGGCTTGGTGGTTTCGGACTGTAACGCCATGGTTTGTCAGACCAATCATATAAAGCACCATGCTGGACAACAGTACTATATAACAGGCAGTCATCCTCAGTACTCATTGCAACTTCAATACAATCATCAAAATGGACACGCTTCCTGCGACGAACATTTCGAGGTTCCTGAGAAATGCAAAGCACTGATTTGAGGGACATACCCTGCAAGTAAGGAACGCCATGATGCGAAATGGAATGGTCTGAGCAGTCATCAAAACTTTGAGAGATAATCTCTCCTCGAAGTCTCCAAGCATCCCAAACGGCAGCAATAGGACTTAAATAGTTCCTTTCCCCCGTCACCGAATGGCAAGTTGGAAACATGTGCGGTCTGGCCTCATGAGCTCCATTTTTCAAAACTGGAAACTCACGGCCGCACTTCACTGTCTCGAGAAAGTGGACGCAGGCTTCGCTGGCTCCACTGACCGAGGTCTTTTGTTGTGTGGACCATGATCTTTGTCGTCGTCCGACACCTCTTGAACTTGTTGTTCGGCTGCAGCAACTTGAATGCCCAAAGATCCTGCACATGCATTGAGCACTCCTTGCAGTTGATCTCGCAGCGTTTGCTCCTCCACATCGACGATGTTGTCCGTTGTAGCATCTTCGGTTTCTTCCTGGATCGGTTGAGGGATAGAGAGATTTCCCTCTTTCACGGTGTTCTCGCTGACTTCCTTCAAGACTCGTCTTGAGGTGTCTATTTCTGCCCTTGCTTTGGCTGCAAGTTCGGACAGGGTAGCTTGATGGACTCTGTAACTGTCCAACTGAGCCTCCCAAATCTTGATGCCTTCGCTCACATGCTTTGTCCATTGAAGACGATGGTCTTTCTTCGCGTTGACGGCATCCCTCAATGCTTTTTGCGCATGGTCCAGGCTCTTCGTTGCAGTCTGCAAGGATTTGATATTGTTGCGGCTGTATTCTTTCTCTGCTTTCTCCAAGAACGCCTGCACATCTGCAGGAGCCTCTTGATCTTTGAATGCCAGTCGCAAATGCGTAGCCATTTCCTGCATGGTGTTGCTCTTGCTGGACTGAGCAGTCTGGAATGGAGATGTTCCCAATTCTGGATTGTTCCAGGCAGGCCAGGCAGGCAAAGGCGCGGGCCCACCTTTTCCCGCTCCAAACGGACTGGCGGTTGCCTCGCTTTTCATTTTCCCTTTGCCTTTTCCCTTTGTCTTGCCCTTCCCTTTGGGTCTGCTCCTGGGGGAGTACTCGATCTGCTGGATTTGGCGTCCTCTTGGTGAGTTCGAAGACCGACCCACACTTTCTGAATCGTCCCAATCTTGCTCCCAGCTTTCCCAATTTTGTTCCCATCCATCCCAGCTGCTGTTCCAACGAGCAGCATCTCCATATGTCTTCACTTTGGGAGTGACATCGTGTTTGGTGCCTTTCGACCAATGACCCCAACAGAGGGCACATTGGTTTGCATTTTTCTTGTTGAGTCTGCCACAAGGACAAACCCAAGGATATGCCTCTTCCCCTGACATTCTCACTTGAATCTCTCGAGAAATTCTGCTCAAGAAAATTGAATCTTTGGAGTGATGCTTGGAAACCAAATGTCTGACACGGATCAATGATGCTACTGTCAAAATTACTTTGCCAGTCCTGTGCAAGAACCACTGTCTTCTTGCCGAAGCTCTTCGACGCCGATCCCTGCGTCTCAACGTTCCCGATTGTTGCTTGAGCGAAATCTTGTAAATTTGTAAATACCACGATCAAAATAAGGAACAGAAGTAGAAATGAGCACATTCACGAACCCAATTACCAGCTGTGCAATCTGTAGGATCAGCCCTGTCAAAAGTGTATAGATAAATCAATATACACGCAGACGGTGGTCGGCCCCCGCAGTGCCAGCAAGCAAAAATTTCACAAATAAGCAATCAATGAATGCAAGAGGTCGCCGGACAGCTAATGCAGACAGAGAAAGAAATTGAATTGGAAGAACAAATTAAAAACTGATCAACCGCCACCAGCTAGCTGATAAGTGCTAATCAACGAGCACAAAAACAGTAGTCGGCCCTGCAGCGCCAGAAATTGAAATAGTGAATCGAATTGTCAATGTAATACAAGTGCAAGAGGTCCACGACGAGACAGCTAATGCAAATGTGAAATTGAATTTAGTGAATGAAAGGTCAGTCAGAAGAAGTCCAAATCCTCAATCCTGGTCCAAGTTCACAAGGTAGTCCAAGAGCCGGCACCAATGGCTGATGGAAACCCGCGGGGAAGAGATCGGATTATCCCCGCTAAGGTAAAGCGCAAAACTACCTCAAAAAATGGCGGTTTGAGCCGATACCTTCCTTGAGCCAAAATGGCTACGGAATTATATTATATTATCATATTACGTATTAATTAACATAGATCAACCATAGAATGCAGCTTCAAGTCCTCTGTTGCTGCAGCTTCTTACGCATTTTTGGGGCTCCCGGGGACTCCCGGGGCTCCACGCCACTGAGTTGACGATCTTGGAGAATGCTGAGTACATGAATACGGACCACTGCAAAGACATTGCCGAGGCGCAAGCGGCCGGCCTTGATGGCTTTGTTGGGGATTTTTTTCGGGGTAAACCGATATAAAAACACAACGGTTTTTTTTAAACCAATCATCATACAAGGTGGTGCCCCATAGTTAGCTAAGTTGGTTTATAACTCCCATAACTATGGTTTATGGCAGATAGACCTATAGTTAATGGGGTTTATAAGCCAACTTATAACTGGGGGGCACCATCCTGTACGGATATTTTCTGAGATATCACGTGATATATAACCACCATGGCCATTTCGGGGCATCCATGGTTGCCCCCAAAGCATCATCCAAGTCATGGATGACCATGAGTTAGTATTAAACCCCCACGGAGACGCGGGGCTCCCCCATTTTAAGAAGCCTCTAAATATTTATATATATATACATATACATATATACATATATAGAGATAGATAGATAGATAGATAGATAGATAGATAGATAGATAGATAGATAGATAGATAGATAGATAGATAGATAGATAGATAGATACTTCAGGAGGAACAAAGTTTATGCTTCTTGAAAGCTTTACAAGACATCCATGTCGGTCAACCGCGGATCGCATTTTCAAGTCCGTTTTGTGTGGCAGGTGTGGGACGGTCAATTATCACCCTCTTTTAATATATAAGATTTTAAAGCGTTTTGGAGGGTGAAATCGACCGGGGTTCGACAAAGCTCCTTCTGGAATTCTAACGGAAAGGGTGTGCAGAAGAAGAAGGCCAAACATGTTCACTGTGGGAAGCCTCAACAAGCGCACACTTTTTTGTCCTACCGAGTGCGTCACTGCAGCATTGTAGCAGTGGCAGACCAAATAGGATGGAGACAGACTGTTATGGTGGAGAGAATGTCCAAGCTGAAGCAGGTGCAAAAAATCAGCAATGACGTGGCAATTCCCACTAAAAGCTTTTTGTACCCTGCGTCACGGCACATGTGTAGCAGTGCAGACAAAGAGGATGGAGACAGACATGCTATGTGGAGTAATGACCAAGCTGAAGCAGGTGCAAAAATCAGCAAATGACGTGGCAATTCCCACTAAATAAGCTTTTTGTACCCTGCGTCGCAGCACATGTGTAGCAGTGCAGACAAAGAGGATGGAGACAGACATGTTATGTGGAGTAATGACCCAGCTGAAGCAGGTGCAGAAGTCAGCAAATGACGTGGCAATTCCCACTAAATAAGCTTTTCGTACCCTTCAGGAGGAACAAAGTGTATGCTTCTTGAAAGCTTTACAAGACATCCATGTCGGTCAACCGCGGATCGCATTTTCAAGTCCGTTTTGTGTGGCAGGTGTGGGACGGTCAATTATCACCCTCTTTTAAATATATAAGATTTTAAAGCTTTTGGAGGGTGGGAATGCGACCGGGGTACGACAAAGCTTCATGCTAGGATTCTACGGGGAAAGGGTGTGCAGAAGAAGAAACCAACCATGTTCACTGTGGGAAGCTCAACAAGCGCAACTTTTGTCCTACCAGTGCGTCACGGCACATGTGTAGCAGTGCAGACAAAGAGGATGGAGACAGGCATGTTATGTGGAGTAATGACCAAGCTGCAGCAGGTGCAAAAATCAGCAAATGACTTGGCAATCCCCACTCAATAAGCTTTTTGTACCCTGCGTCACGGCACATGTGTAGCAGTGCAGACAAAGAGGATGGAGACAGACATGCTATGTGGAGTAATGACCAAGCTGAAGCAGGTGCAAAAATCAGCAAATGACGTGGCAATTCCCACTAAATAAGCTTTTTGTACCCTGCGTCGCCGCACATGTGTAGCAGTGCAGACAAAGAGGATGGAGACAGACATGTTATGTGGAGTAATGACCAAGCTGAAGCAGGTGCAGAAGTCAGCAAATGACGTGGCAATTCCCACTAAATAAGCTTTTCGTACCCTTCAGGAGGAACAAAGTTTATGCTTCTTGAAAGCTTTACAAAACATCCATGTCGGTCAACCGCGGATCGCATTTTCAAGTCCGTTTTGTGTGGCAGGTGTGGGACGGTCAATTATCACCCTCTTTTAAATATATAAGATTTTAAAGCGTTTGGAGGGTGGAAATGCGACCGGGGTTCGACAAAGCTCCATGCTAGGATTCTACGGGGAAAGGGTGTGCAGAAGAAGAAGCCAAACATGTTCACTGTGGGAAGCTCAACAAGCGCAACTTTTGTCCTACCAGTG